TTCACTTAGATTCAATCTAATCAGAGTTATAGTAAATAGTTTTAGAACAGAAAGTAAGAAAATAATCTTTATTTAAACTTTAACTTACTAACTCTTTGCAATTTCATTTTCAATCCAGCTTTTAGTACATAAAGATGCCCTTGTAGTTTCTGGATCAAGTTGGCTTTGAGTATGTGATATAGTATTTGTCACGACTAAAAAAGCTTGCTTACAGGCAATGCTAGTTGTCTGAATTGACAAATAATCTCTTGACATATATCCTAATGTTGGAAACTCTTTTTCATGCACTTGCTACTATAATAATAGTGCAATATTTTCATTACAGGACAAAGCTAAGTATCGCTCTAATTCATCTGTAGAGTCTTGGTTTGTTCCAGAACCTAATTCTAAACAATATTATTTAAGTCCCTTAAAGTAATCATGAGTTGTACTAATATCATCTCTTTTAACATGCAAGAGCTTATTGATAAATTTAGTATGATATTAATTAAATACCTCTCTAGTTTAATTAACTGTATCAGTAGTTTCTTGTCCTATTTCAAAGAGCAATAATTTGGTTTGTAGATCAAGTATTGATACAATAGTAGTATCATCATCAATTATATATTTATATTGATCAATTTTTTCATTAATTGATGCAGCTAGCATATATTAACCAGATTCACTATTTTCTACATAGTCTTCAAGATAATCTTGAATACCACTAAATAAAAATTGAACATCTGCGATTGTTAGATATGAACTTGTAGACAGTAATTTTGTAGCTTTTTCTAATGGTTCCATTAAGCTAAGTATTTCTTTATTAAAAAATATTTAAATTAATTATAAATAAAAATAAATAAATATTAATATTATTGTATCTTAATTTTTGTCCACGTATTTGGTGTAGGCATTAAACTTTAGATCTCATTATAATTAATGGCTAGCATTCTTAATGCAAGTTGCATTCGTGATATTTTTTTTAATATATAGTATGTACTATTCCATCTAGTTACAATATCTAATTCTGGTTTTAGATAATTTAATTTTTGTACATTATATAGCTCTTTTAATTCATTACATAAAACAGTTAATCCTTTGATCTTAGACATTAATGTGTGAATATTAACAATATTATGATCAACAATTTCTAATCCATGATGCATAGCTAAATTTAAAATATAGGCACTACACCTATAATGACGAAAGGTTTGACAATTTAACTCTGTCTGCAAATTATTTGCTAAGGTACGTTCACAAACTAATATTGCGGATTCGTTATCAGTGGTAAGTGACTATGTTTTTTTTATCAGATTGAATTCTACAAGAACATTATTAATTGCTGCTACTATGTTTGCTTCTACATATAAAGTTATATTAAAAAAGTTACAAATTTACAATACATGTAATTTCACAACTCTACCTGTATGGTGTGTAGTAAAGAGAATAATATCTAACAAAAATCAATGAAATACCTATTGTTGATCTATATAATGAATCGTGATCCCAAAAAAAGCTTTATTATTGATAGTAGATGTCCATATATCTGAAGTTAAGGAAATTTGTTCTGGGATTTGGTGCAAAATATTATTTATTTTTCCTCTTTGTTCGTTAAAGTAACTAACGACCATGCTTTTAACTTGATGATGTTCAGGAATTATGTAGTATGGGTCAAGTATATTTATTAATTCAATAAACTTTTTGTTATCAACAATACAAAATGGTTGTTGATCTACAATAATCCAAGTAATTAAAGCTAGATCATGTTTCTTTTTTTGTGTTTTAGGCTATGAATTATTATGAACAAAAGATAATTTTGTTTGATAATACTTTATCTTTGGAACAATAATATTATGTTGACTACTCAAATGCTTCTCTAAACTAGAATTACCAGTCTTAGCTAAAAAATTTTGTTTATATTTATTGCAAATAGGAATATCAGGCTTTTTAGAATCGAAGCTAAAATATAGCCACAAAGATAATAGTTTTCTTGAGTTCTTATTTAAAATAGTTGACTCATTTCCTTCAGATTTCTGGGTTAATTGATCATCATCTAATTCATCTTCTTGGCTATAATATTTAGCATTTTCAACACTTTTAATATCCATATTATTTTCAATACTTTTAGTATTCTTTTTTTTTTTTAAAAAAAAAATATCGATTTAATTGATTTACACTTTATACAGAAAAAAGAGGTTTTACAAATTTGGGTTTTTTTTTTATATTTATTTATTTATTATTTTATTTATTTATCTTTCTAATTAAGCAATACTATAAAAGCCTTATCTTTCTCGTAGCTTCTTTTTAGATTGTTTATTCTCATATTATCAAAGAAAAATAGAAAAAGAAAATTGATTTTTTTTTTACATTACGAATTTAAAGTAAGTATAATTACACGTTAAATGCTTTCTTTTTCTAATTGTGTCTGCATTAATAAACTTTCTTTAAATATGTATTCCGTAATGGAAAATACAAATTTTTATGACTTAGGTAAGTATTATCTATAAATGCATGCTCAAATTGCGTATTAGAATTGTTCTACGCTAATATATACAGGAAATAACTCATTTTCGCAATACTGTATAAACTCGAAATAATGCCTACCTGCCCGCCAATTAATTAACTTGCAAGTTATTTCGAATATGCCTATATGCATTATTTCGAAATAAGAGTAGACTTTCTAAATTCAATACAGTCAACCTTCCATAAATACATATTGTTTAGTAAAAGTGCATTTATAGAATAATCATTTCGAAGAATATTTTATATTAATATTAAATAATTATATTAGACCGATCAACTTATAGAGAGTGTGTTAATTTATAATACCCATGAGTGCTAATTCGAGACTATATAAGTTACTTTTGAAGGATTTGATTTTTAAAATAATGCCCACAAGCATTATTTCATGCTTATATAGTATATCTCTTAGATTATCTTTAAATAAATTAAATCGTTTTTTGAATAATTGTAAAATTCAATACCATGCTTAAGATATTTTTAATTAGAGCTGGGGATCCTTTGAATATTCATCACGGCTATTCAATATTTATTTTTAACTGTAGATA